AGAACCAATCAGATTGCAAGATTCGTTACCGTGCCCTCTAAAAAAACAATAATCTTTATTACGTGACACCTGATTGGTTAAAAAAATTCTCCGTGATGTGGTGTGATTGAGACCCACCTTTACCACCCTCAATTTAGGGATACTGGGTCTGACTGATCGTATGAAAATTGAAAATCCGAAGTTAGTTTTACTCTAATCAACAAAAACAAAAAAGTGATTGAATGATAAACCCTCATAGTCAATTGAAAACCATTTTTAAACATGTAAGACTTGAGATACACAAGTTCTATATAAAATATTTATCGATTCTAAATCCTTTCATTTTATTTAATGATTGATTATCAGTGGATAATAACCCTAAAATATCTTGGTAGCTGTTTTTCACATTATGTCAACCTATAAGCGAAAGCAATTTGTGTCTAAAATACCCCTCACCCTAAGAAAACTTAACGCTCACAAAAATGGGGTCTTTACCACACAGCTTTCAAAGTTACATTACACCAAAGCACCTAAATTCTTATAACCACAATATCGCATGTGATAAAATTTACTTGTCTTGATATAATTGTCAGTTTATTTGGGCTACAGCGTAAAAAGGTAAGCTGGTATCGCAATATTATGATATGATGACGACATTTGGAAACATTCAAGTATTCTTTCTCTTCTATAATTTGCTGAAAATTACTCATGACCACCGTCAATATCACAGATTTGTCTGAGTCGTAAAGTTTTTTTTAATGCATCTGCACAGCTCCTACGATAAGGTACATCGCCCAGAATGCTGTTGTCTTTCGCGACATGTACTTGCGGTGCCCATTTAATCAGCGGGCATCATAATAATTTGCATATCCTGAACTAGTCGGTCATGATTGGTCAGCAGGTATAGCTTTAAGAATACATGAGTCTCTAGGCAGATTTCAGCTGCTGTCAATCAAACGGTTGGATGCGTAAAGTAAATCTCAAGGTGACATAAAGTGAACAATAGCAATAATTGACAATAGCCACGCTTTTAATAAAGCGTTTAGCAAATTCGTTTGCAGCGAATTCTTCTGTAGACTGACAGACTCCCGTTGGTCAAAATGTTATCGGAATTATAAAAATTAATATCATGAAAATAGAAAATAGAAAAATTTAGAAAATACTATGCTGAAGAATAGGCGGTTTAAAAAGCGTTACTTGCGATCAGGCGGTTTTCGAGTGCGAAAGGCTTGCGGTTGCGGACTGACAACAAAAAAACGCCTAATTGAAGGTTATAAAAAGCGGTGCTCAGAAAGCCAGCTAGTCTGTGGTCAAGTGAAATTTTAATTTCATTCAATCTTTGTCTTAAATGTGGTTTTGGCGTGCCCCCGTATCAAAGAGAATAAGGAGCGCGAAAAAATGGCCTAACCACAGTTCTATAGCGAGCGCGATGCGTGAGTCACTCGCTTTTACTGGACATTTGTGTTGTCATACTCCACTGAAAAATTTTGGTAGCTAAACAGGGCTTTTTTTCCTTGTTTAGCCATCAAGGAGAAGAGTTACACGATGACAAAAAAAAAAGACAACAACAACAATTGCAAAAGAGACTACGGTGGAACCTGTTAATGCGGCCACCAACGGGCAATGGAAATCTATCCTTATTGACGGGAGTAAAAGCATGTCACTTACTTGTACTTCACACTCGCGCTCTTTTACTCCACCGATTAACGCAGTCCGACCAAACAGAAGAAAAAACGAGCAAACTAACCAACAAACGGCCGCCACGAACAGGTTGACGGCCGAGGGAACAGTTACATAATTATTCACAGTTGGATCCATTTTGATTAATCAAAACATGTATATAAATAGTACGGTTTCATTCAATCCAATCAGTTGCTAAAACTTATTTGCAACAACATCTCGAAGCGTGCGAGACATCAGCCAGGCTTTTACGCAACATTATTGAATGATGTCCGCCATGGGGCGGTGGCTTTAATTCGAAATAACGACCGAAGGTAAAACCTACTGTTATGGGTGTTTACGAAGTTGAACGTATTGTA